ATGTGTTTTTTATAGTTGACTAGCTACTCGCCCCGGCTTCGCACGGGTGAAATGTATTATACATATAAACCTTCCTCTTAAATCACCCCAACCCCTTGTAAGCAAAAATAAGCAAAGTTCTTACCCCCTAACGATTACGTAAACATTTTTAATTAATATATTGTTTTTTAGCAGACAATGTGAGGGTTGCCATTCGTGTAGAAAAGTAAATAACTATCGATGACGTACTCATCATCTAGACACCCCCACCCCCATGTCATCTAAAATAAGCAAAGCAAAGACCGGCCCCGATATGGAGAGGAGCGTAACGCATATAAATAAAAAAGAGCGGAATTTCAATATTATATGTATAAAAAAATATTATAAATGGTAGTAGTGTATTGTTACTAATATTTGTACTAGTAGATCAACTGCTACGTACGAAAAATGTGAATTTTAAATATAAATTTAATTACTTTATTATTAAAACTTAAAAAAAAAAAAGAAAAAATAAATACAATTACTATTATTATGCAGATAGATATACTAATTATTGAATCCATTACTAATTCTATAAATGATCAGTGACCACATCGCATCGCAAATGTAGATATCGCTCAAGATGTAAGAACGAGTATATTTTAATAGTCATTTATACATTCCAAAGATCCATAATTTGCAATAGAATTCAACGCAGAACAGCCATTTCGAAATCTTACCATATAATGCCTACGAGAATAAAGTCGCTGTAACAATGGAAATTAAAAAAAAACTCCTATGTTTAATATTAATAAGTGTGTGCAATAGTCAAGAAATATCTTCTTATATATAAAATTCTCGTGTCATAATGTTAGTTACCATACTTTTCCGAAACGGTTTGAGCGATTTTTATGAAATATTAAACGCATATTCTGAGTAGATCTAAGAATTGGTCACTTTTTCATACCCGTAAGTGATAAGGATTCTTCACTCCTAACATTTTTTTAAATTCATTATCATCTGCTTCTTCCTTATCCCATTTATTTGAGGTCGGCGTAATATGTTTTTCTCTTCCATTCATCCCGTTATTTTAATTTTTTTTTATTTTTATTATTTTATAATGTGGCATTAAAAATATATACAACCCTAAATTTCCTTTTCTAGCATCAACCCCTATATTTTTTAATAGCGATTTTAATTTATATTGTATAATAACGTTTGCGGGTCAGTTAGTAAAATATAAAAATTTGCAGGCTGAATACACTGGACATTATATTTAACTAGCTATTCGCCCCGACTTCGCACGGGTGTACATGTACATCTATCTATTAAAAATACCGCTTCAAAATCCGTTGCATAATTTTAAAGATTTAAGCATACATAGGGACGGACAGACAGCGACAGCGACTTTGTTTTATACTATGTAATGATGATATTGTATATATAAACACTGTACTCTGCAAATAAATTATTTCATTTGAACTGAAAACGGAGTGTAGGCTGGTAGTCAAACGAGTGGTAGATAAAAAACAAATTGTTATGACTATTCAAAAGTGCTTAAAAGTTTATTTGAATAAATTTTCTATTCTATTCTATTCTATAAATACTGTACTCTGTAAATAAATGATTTGATTTGAAAACGGAGTGTAATCCCCGTAGGCAGTAACTAATTTGATATGCACAGTCTCGTTTAATATTCTTTGCGCGCCAAACAACAGGTTCCCCTGTCAGTGGAGCTAGTTAGTGATATTATACATCGCGGATCGGACGCCGATCGGACAGGTAAATTTACCGTTTTCTATCATTAATATTTTCTTAATTTACACAGGAATGTATATGTATAATTAATTCGCATTCTTAATTTTGGCGCGTAGAAATCATCTATGACAGTTCTTTTTTTTTTTTATTCCACGAAATGTGTTAATGGACAGCAAATAAAACGGGTTTGTTTTTTTTCTGTTTTGTTTATTTACGCAATGATGGGATTTTTGTTTGACACATAATTTTTTTGTATCTGTTGTAAGTTTGTAGATAGACTTGAGAGTTGTGTGACTCAGAAAAACAAAAGATTTTTTGTTGGAATCTGTGGTAATTTTTTTTTAGATACACTTCGAAGCTGCAATCTTGCCTCACTTACAACAAATCTATTTATATGTGAAACTGTGCAATCATTTCTTTTGATTATACCATTACAGGTTAATCAATAGATTCAGTTTTGTTAATTACTCTGTAGAAAGTTTATTTCTGTGGTTACTCACTTATGTTTTTTTATTAAATAAATATTCTTTATTGTACACAAAATCACAAACATATACTTTATCTATACATATAAATAGTATTGGAGTGTGTGTTTGTAATATTGAAATAACCGTTTTTTACTACATGCAAAGGAATGTAAATACGGTACATATACACCAAAATAACATTTTTTACAATTTTTGTCTGTCTGTATGTTCCGGCTAATCTCTGAAATGGCTAACGATTTTGACGGGACTTTTATTGGCAGGTAGCTGATGTAATAAGGAGTGACTTAGGCTACTTTTATTTTAGAAAAATAAAGTTATTCCACGCGGACGAAGTCGCGATTACAGCTAGTATTAAATAAAGATGTACAACAGGAGAACTTAACTCTGTAAGAGTTCTCTTTCGTTGAGTTTTAGTTGTTATGAACGTCAAACTATTGAACAAATTAATTTTATTACTGAAAGTAACGTTAATTGTGCGACGATTTTTTTTAACCATATATATATTTGTAAACAATTAGTTATATTGACGGCCTCGGTAGTCTAGTGGATTAGCACACCACCTTAGACTGGTTGGTCGCGAGTTCGATTCCTCGCACGGCACAAACATTTGTATTCATGAGTATGATTGTTTGTATCGGTCTGGGTGTCTATGTATATTATGTATGTATTTACATTAACTGTTGTAGTACGCAGCCATAACACAACCTTTGCTTACCAAGGGATTATAGCGCTGTAGGAATTGTATAAAAATCGAAAATATTTTATTGTATTAATATTTTTCTTGCCGTTATATTTTAAATACTCACTAATATACTATAATAAATAATATTATGAATGTTTGTCCGTCTGGCTCGCTTTCACGCCAAATCTACTGAACCGATTTGAATGAAATATGGTACACAGATAGTTTAGACGCCTAGGCTACTTTTTAACGAAAAAAGGGTTGAAAGAGGAGATATGGAAGAATTGTCATTTTTAAAGCTAGAAGCTTGTGACTTATTGTTTAAGTTGTTGATTAAATATAAATAAATATGATATTCAAAGTTTGTAAAAGCGTTACCCTTAGGGAGTAAAATAAAATAGGGGATGAAAGTTTATATGGTAATTCGTTATTCTATAAGCTGGAACAATGGATTTGGTCAAGGTCATTATACCACGCGGACAAAGTCGCATCTGTATGCAAGTAAATAAAAAGATATAATGTTGTATTGCAGCCGATCAGTTGCCTGAGACGAGCGCTGTTTGTATGAAGAAATGATTACATCTGTAATCATTTTCCTGTTTGTCAGCCGGGTGGCCGCGCAGAGCAATGGTTAGTATTGAAAAAAAAACTAGTAATATAAGATAATAATCTCTCAGGACAACACACAGCGCCATCTAGTACCAAGGCAAGCAATGGTTACTAGACTACATACAATCTTTACTAATATTATAATTGCGAAAGAACTCTGTCTGTTTGTCTCGCTGTCACGTCATAAATACTGAACCGATTTAAATGAAATTTGAACAGACAGTCTAGACCCTGAGAAAGGAATAGCCTACTTTGTAATGCAAAAAGGGGCTGTTGCTTAAATATAAATAAATATGTCATTCAAAGTTTAAAAATGATACCCTTACGGGGGCAAATATAATGCTATATGCAATGACCATTCCACGCGGACGAAGTCACGGGCACAGCTAGTATAATAACATCTCAGACTTACACAGCTCCATCTCATTAGCTAAGCTCGTGTTATGGGTATTAGATAACTGATACAAATACATAGATTTTTTTCGTAAATACATACATATTATACATAGAAAACACCCAGACATATACAAACAATCATACTCATGAATACAAATGTTTGTGCCGTGCGAGGAATCGAATCCGCGACCATCGGAAGTAAGGCGGTGTGCTAAACCACTACACCACCGAGACTGTCAACCGATGATAGACAATTGCGTAATCTGTAGAGATTTGGTTATTTCTGTATATAAATAAATAAATCTGGATATATCTTTAATAACAAGGAACAAGGATTAGTAATAAAAAAACAAGCTTACAGGCATATCACGGCTACGTAAGTTGCATTTTGAGATATGGCATTTGATTTGGGGCAACTCATATCATGCTAAACGGGTCCTTATAGCTCAGAAACAATGCATCAGAGCAATATGTAATGTTGACATACCTACGTATATCTTCCAGATCACTGTACAAAGATTTAAATGTATTAACTCTTCCATGTCCATATATCTACGAAGTGTGCATATTTGTAAGAATGCACATCAAATTATTTAGAAAAAAAGGTTTTTTTTTAATTTCTTTTTAAATTTAGGGACTTTTGTACCATCTAAGTACATGTCAGTCCCATTGTACCCTAAAACCAATCACTCCATTAAGAAAAAAAAGGTGAATACTGTAATTTTAACTTAAGGAATCCAAATAATCTCATTCTCCCATACAATACTACAAACTTGTATGCCTATTGTATGTCAATAAAAATTTACAATAAGTTGCGTGATGATATAAAAATACTACCGATAAATATGTTCAGAAGAGAGTTAAAAAGATGGCTGATCAGTAAGTGTTTTTACTCTGTTGATGAGTACTTTAATTCATGAAGTAGGTAATCGTAGTACTTTGCCCAGAAATTTAAATTTAATTTAATAATGATGAAAATAAAAATGAAACTTAGAAATATGTATACTCTTATAATAATAAATAGACACTGATAATTTTTGCATGCCAGTTTCTGGTGAAAAGTGTGATACATAAATTATTATTTTTATAATCATGTAAACCACTTTTCAGGCAAAATAAAGATATTTGTATTTGTAACATACAGCCAATGTATAACACAGGCAGTATGTTATTATTTCCCAAATAACTATATACTATGTTAATTCTAAAAAATCACTGGATCTTACCACGTTGAAAGGGTATTCATATATGTATATATGTAAGGGTTGATATTCTGGTTTAGACGGCTGGCAATCTGCTCTTAGCACACTGCTTACCAAACGACGTGATGTCAATAATATGAAAGATGCATTGGTTGTCTTTCGAAGCTATTTGTAAGGGAGATCCGGAATCACCCTGAAATGAGAAAAAAAATACATGTTGAGTTCTTCTGCTTCTTTGCCAAAGTTTGATTATAAATGACGTGTAATATATTTTTTGTGGATGATAATGGAATGGTGCAACGCGCACGTGACACCCCTGGTGTCTCAGGCGTCCATAGGCTACGGTAACCGTTTACCATCAGGTGGGCCGTATGCCTGTTTGCCACCATAGTAGTAACTTATCTTAATAATATTATAAACGATTGTGAGTATGGATGGATGTTTGTTACTCTTTCACGCAAAAACTACTGAACGGATTTTGATGAAGCTACAGTAATATAGCTTATGTATACGTCAGAATAATCTATAAATATAAAGTTAAATTCCACGCGGACGAAGTCGCGGGCACGGCTAGTAAACTATAAATTTCTTGCGACTGAAACCGAAGATAAAATTGTTTTATTTATTTTTATTGAGTTCACTGTTGAAGGTAGACGAATATTTCGACGAATATAAGGCCATTTGCCCCATTTGCTTGCAGAGTGCTTTAAGGAATCAAATATCCTCACCGTTGCTTCTCAATACATTTATGAATATCATGTACGCCAGGAAGAATATAGACAGTTTCAAAAGAGTTAGTGATTGCACTAATAAAGGCTTACGTAACAATAACAAACTGATTTTACCTAAATGTCGTTTGGCTAAAGTCAGTAATTCGTTTTATGGCAATTGCGTAAGGTTTTACAATAAAATACCAGAGTCTGTTATAAATCTGCCTGAAAAATTATTTAAATGTCAAATAAAACAGTTCCTTTGCAAAAAACCATAAAATTGAAGAATTCGTTAACGACAATAATGTTTTTATAGAAAATCTTTAAATCCATAGCACTGACATCTGATTACACTAATAATGAGTGCGTAGCGATTTCTATGTTAATTATCGCATGCCTCTTACTTGTTATACTATAATTATTTATATAAAAAAACATCTATTAAAAAGAGCAACACACACAAGTTTCATGCTCATTCTTCTTGTGATGAGTCTGCGTTCCGAATGAGTGGTAGAATCAAAATATGACTATTCAAAAGTGCTTGTAATGAGTTTATTTGAATAAAGATTATTTCTATTTTCTATATGTCTGGCCATAAAACATTTTATTTTCCATCTACCCGCTGCTCTTCAGTTTACCCGTGATCATGGCGGTTGAAACACTGCCGAAATATCGGGAACTCAATAAAAATTAATCATGGTAATATCCCATTTTTTTTCCTAACTGTATGTATAAATACTGCCCATGTTTCTCTATGAAATAGCTTTCTATATGTGTATTTCTATATACGCTCAAGTTTCTGGCTCGTTCGTTTGTGATGTCTTATCTTTCTAGCTTTCCAAATGAGCGGTAGATTAATAAAAATTACTGTGACTAAAAGCGCTTGAATTAAGTTTATTTAACTAAAGGATTTTCTATTCAATTCTTTTAAAATTAGTTATAAATTAAATAAATCCATCATCATCATCATTGCCTTCCTATTACCCCATTATTTGTAGTCGTCGCAGTATGTCATTCTCTTCCACTGATCTCTATCGGCCGTCATATATGAGCATACTCTCCTTTTATACATATCTTTCACACAGTCAATCTTTTTTTGGTCATCCTCTTTTTTTATATACCACTTAGGTGGCAAACAAGCAGGCCCATCTGATGGTAAACGGTTACCGTAGCCTATGGAGGCCTGAAACACCAGGAGTGTTACGTGCGCGTTGCCGACCCTTAAGAAACCTTAATATACCCTTCTTGAAAAACCCCATGCTGTAGTCTCGTGAGAAAACCTCGGCAGGTAGTTCATTCCACAATCTAAGTGTATCCTGCGTATCCTCTCTGATTCCATCCATCCACGTTCATTATTTGAATAAAACCTATACAATCAAAATAACAATTTAGAAATACCTCTTTATGTTTGTTTAGACGAGGAAAACTGAATACATATGTTGCATTGATGCCTTTTTTTATTATATTTTGCGGTTTTGAGCTGCGTCATGTGCCTACAATGCCGTTATGATTTCATGTTATCATTTTAATAATAATAAACATAGAGAATTCGCCTTATGGGAACACAGTTACCTAGATACAAAGATAGATAGATAAAAAATTTATTTACAATAGCTGTTCCCGCAACTTCGTCCACGTGGAATTTAACTTTATTTTTCTAAAATAAAAAAAGTAGACTAAATTCTCCTAAATACATCAGCTACCTACCAAAAAAAGTCCCGTCAAAATCGGTTCAGCCATTTCAGAGATTAGCCGGAACAAACAGACCGACAGACAGACAGACAAAAATTTTTAAAAGTGTTTTTGATGTATGTACCGTATTCATATTCATATCCATGCAGTAAAAAACGGTTATTTCAATATTACAAACAGACACTCCTATTTTATTTATATGTATAGATAAAAGCACACACACACAACAAACACGGTAATATTAAAAACAAAGATTAAATATATATACTATACACAATTACATTGGTCAGTCAACATAGTACAATACATATATAGATATAGGTAAACAGATAAAATACTATACAGATACAAAAAAAAAACGTGTGTACCGTAGTGTGATTGTACTATCATTTTGTTCTTTTGAAAATAAAACAAATATTTTGTACTCATGTAAAGGATCTTGTATTTTCCCTCCAATGATATGCTCAGAATGACAAATTAAAATTAGTATTCTGTGTTCTTTTTTTTTAAATAATAATAATATTTCAGGACAATTCACACAGCGCCATCTAGTCCCAAGCTAAGCAGAGCTTGTGTTATGGGTACTAGACAACTGATATAAATACATGGATACATTTTTTTTTTGTAAATAAATACATATTATACATAGAAAACACCCAGAGCGATACAAACAGGCATACTCATGAATACAAATGTTGTTACGAATCGAACCCACAACCATCGGATAGTAAAGCGGTGTGCTAAACCACTAGACCACCGAGGCTGTCAAATGAAAATAAACCCATTACAAGCACTTTTGAATAGTAATATTTTGATTCTACCACTCATTCGGAATGTAGATTCATCACAAGAAGAATGAGCAAGAAACTTGTGTGTTGCTCTTTTTAATAGATGTTTTTTTATATAAATAATTATGATTGATATTGATAAAGAAAGATTTTATTTTGTACATAAAATTATCTTATATATAAAATTCTCGTGTCACAGTTTTCGTTCCCATACTCCTCCGAAACGGCTTGACCGATTCTCATGAAATTTGTGAGCGTATTGAGTAGGTCGGAGACTCGGCCAACATCAATTTTTCATCCCCCTAAATGTTAGGGATAGTCCACCCCTAAATTTTTATTTTTATTTTAAGCAAAACAACGTTTACCTGGACAGTATAAATAAAATAATACTACTACTATTCGATACATAAAAGTATCACTAGCATTTAATAATGGCTAGTAACAGGGGCAAGGGGAAAGTTAGTAATGTGGACTCACGACCTATTGCTAGAAATGTACCATGTCAGATTGACATCCACGCGGTTCTCCCTTTTTTTTTTTTATCGTGTGGAAAAATCTTCAACAAGACCGTCACCCCCCCGCCGTCATACCCACTAAAAAAACCACACGGTATACCTCGAGGTGCCGTGGGTGGATCGCACTTGGCACTCAACCCAGACTTCGGCGGCTTGGCCTGTCCTGAAGATGTTGTAGGACAGGCCCCCTCTCTCTGGTTAGGGTGCTATAGCTTGCACCCTACCTTCTCGTGGAGGCGCGTGGGTACACGCGCGCGCTTCCAGGGGCCTGGTTGTGGGGTGGTGCCTCCCTCAAGGCATGCACCCCGGCCCCCGTGGGGGGTAGACTCGGGACGGAGTTGGGCTCGTCCCGACGTCTGCGCCTGGTCCTCCGGCGGCGGATCATTGGGGCGAAAGGATCGTACTCCCGGTCCCTCTCAGCCACCTCCTTCTGCGAAGAAACTTCTTCGCAGAAGGTGAGCACTGCCAGCCACGACCCCTCGCTCCTAACCACGCGGTTCTCCCTAGAAAGCATCGTGATAAAATCCTGGTGAATTTCTCACAATGTGCTAATTGACCTGACGTCATGCTCATCTTATCATCCACTGGTGCCCCGCCAGCGTAAACCGTTAGCGCAGGCGGGTGCACCATTCCATTATCATACATAAAAAAACCTCTTAGCTTAGGACAAGATGGTATCAGGTGATGTCCCGGTATTTATACGCTGTCGTCAGTTGAAACGATGTATATTACAGATGATAATAAACTGACAATATGTACATAGAAATATTGATCTTATATACTAAATAACAATAGGAAAATGTAAGGTGGGGTGACACAGTTTAGACACAGCAGTGCCTAGTACTATGTTAGCTTCAATACATAAAGAACACTCAGTTGACTAATTTGTTACTTATATTCCCCTTACCCCCGCCATTGCTAGCATTGTACCATGTTAGGTTAACCTCCACGCGGTTCTCCCTAGAAACCATCATGATAAAATCCTGGTGAATTTGTCATGATGTGCTAACTGACCTGACGGCATCCTTATCTTATCATCTACTGGTGCCCCGCCAGCGTAAGCCAGTGCATAGAAGGGTGCACCATTCCATTATCAATAATTTTAAAAAAGATACGTAGTCAGCACCCTGACTATCGGAAGTAAAGCTAAATCACTTGACCAGCGAGGCCGTTGGATAAGAAATAATAAATTATTATAGTATTCAACTAAGAAGCGTAAGAAAGCAAATTACATGTTATCTATTTGTTATGACGTCATCGATAAACTTTTGACTCGAAGATAATAATGTAGTGTGTAGTCCAAGGCACCAGGCCACGTGGTAGATCACCAATGAGATGGACAGACCAGATCAAGGCAACTAAGTGCTCAGTTTACGAATGTACTCGGAAAGCTACAGTCCGCGACGAATGGCGCCGTATTACCAAAAACCTCACTCATCGTGATTCAAAATGTTGACCACGATCTCTCTGACAAGAGTACCGACTAAGAAGAAGTGTAGTTCAAACACATAAAACTTTAGTTAAGCAAATTAAATTCTAAACTAAAAAAATCTAATATATCATTCTAGAGTTGTGCTGCTTTTTTTCCTGTACAATTAACACAGCGCCATCTAATCAGTCCCACGGTAAGCAGAGCTTGTGTTGTGGGTACTAGACAACTGATATAAATAAATAAATAACCCTGGACAATTAACACAGCGCCATCTAGTCCCACGGTAAGCAGAGCTTGTGTTATGGGTACTAGACAACTGATATAAATAAATAAATAACCCTGGACAATTAACACAGCGCCATCTAGTCCCACGGTAAGCAGAGCTTGTGTTATGGGTACTAGACAACTGATATAAATAAATAAATAACACTGGACAATTAACACAGCGCCATCTAGTCCCACGGTAAGCAGAGCTTGTGTTATGAGTACTAGACAACTGATATAAATAAATAAATAACACTGGACAATTAACACAGCGCCATCTAGTCCCACGGTAAGCAGAGCTTGTATTATGGGTACAACTGCTATAAATACTTAAGATTTTGTAAATATGTACATATATACATTATATATATACAAAACACCCAGACCGATACAAACAATCATAGTCATGAGTACAAGTGTTTGTACCGTGCGAGGAATCGAACCCGCGACCATCGGACGTAAAGTGGTGTGCTAAACTCCTAGACCACAGAGGCCGTCACCTAACTCTTTGTTTGTTACCAAATTCCTCCGAAACTGCTTTACCTATTTTTATGAAATTTTGTCTGCATATCGGGTAGGTTTGAGAATCAGCATTATCTATTTTTCTTACCCTTCAATGATTACACACTATTTCCTAATTACATCTCATTATATTGTTTACCAGTTCTGCCCGCGAATTCGACTAAGTAAAATGACGCCTTGACCAAATATAAATATATATAATAATATATAAATATTTAAAAATATATTTAATATAATCTAACCTCGCTAGTTCGCCATCTAGACGCGTAAGGGACAAGAATTGAAGGATATTCTTAGGAGCGATGGTTTTTATCTCCTCAGGATAGAGTGTAAGTTTCCAAAGTTTTGTTTTTATTAAAAATAAAGTAACAAATTTTAATTTAGTCAGGTGTATTTATAGATGAGACTGCATAATTAAATATTTATATATATTAAACAAAAACTCAAAACTGCGTAAAATGTTAAAACGAGGAAAAACCTGTCAATAATTATAATATAATTGATATTGTGGTTAAGTAGTATTATGTGCATCATAAATTATTGCTTCATCAATTTATTTATATTAATGACTAGGTGTTCCCACTTCGTCCGCGTGGAATTTAACTTTATTTCTCTAAAATAAAAACATTTTTCTAAAATAAAAGTAGCCTAAGTTATTCCATATTACATCAGCTATCTGCCAAAAAAAGTCCCGTCATAATCGGTCCAGCCATTTCAGAGATTAGCCGGAACAAACAGACCGACAGACAGGCAGACAAAAATTGTAAAAAATATTATTTTGGTACATGTACCGTATCTATATTCATATCATGTGGTAAAAAACGGTTAGTTCCATATTACAAACAGACACTCCAATTTATTTATATGTATAGATTACCTGCGCTCGCGGTTTCACCCGCATTTTGGTCTATATGTTATTCTGACGTATAGCTACACTAGCTACGTCCGTGTGGTCGTTTGTCGTCGCCGACATTTTAGTGTGTACTGTTTTTTTATTATAATAATCAATCCCTATATACTACTTACTTAGTACGTAGGTACTATCATCGTTACACGTGTTCTAGTGGCCTTGAATAAATAAAGTAACAATATTCAACAATCCAATCCGGAAAAGTTAAAGTAAAATCGGTATAGCTTTCAAATTTCCAGACAAACTATCATCGTCTAGTATAATACCTTCATAAAAGATTCCCCTACTTAAAAATGTTAAAGGAATTTAGTGTAATCATTAATGTCCAAAATTTTTATGTCAGAAGATAGAAAACAATCAATTGTTATTTGTCAAGATAAAAATCAATTGATATATATCGGCTAACCCTGGTACGAACTGTACCTCTGGTAAATAACTCATTTATATTTGGCCAACAGAGGGTGACTCCTGCGTAGACAGATACACCAACACTCAAGGAATATGCACTCCCACAGACAGATGCAGATCAGCCAAAGAAGACTTTCAGTGAGTTGTTCAATGTTCCATGTCATAATTTAGTTTTAAATATATATAGATTGAAATGAGAATTACTGAAATGGGGCCGTTCAAGTATTACGTAAGCAGATTTATTACAGTCATTTACCCCCCATCCCCCTTGTAAGCAAAAGTAAGCAAAGCTCTTACCCCTCGCCCTGCACGTAAACATTTTTCAATTAATGTATTGTTTTTTAGCAAAGACAAAATGAGGGTTGCCATTTGCTTAAAAAAGTAAATAACTATCGATGACGTAATCATCATCTAGACTACCTTACCCTCATCCAAAATAAGCCCCCCCCCCAGCCCCCTTGTCTTACTTTACTTTTGCTGAGCATGGGGAGGGGGTAAGCCCCCTCCCCATGCTTACGTAAACATTTTTCAATTAATGTATTATTTTTTAGCAAAGACAATGTGAGGGTTGCCATTCGAGTAAAAAAGTAAATACTATCGATGACGTAATCATCATCTAGACTCCCCTACCCCCATGTCATCCAAAATAGGCACATCAAAGACCCCCCCCCCCCCCACCGCAACCCTCAGTGCTTACGTAATACTTAAACGCCCCCAATCAAGTTAAATAAGAACATAGCTGAAATAAGAGTAATTTTCTAGACAAATTAATTAATCAAATATATTTATATATTTACTAGCTGTCCCGGCAAACGTTGTTTTGCCTTAAAATATATAAAAAAAGGGGGATGAAAAATAGATATAGGGGGATGAAAAATAGATGATGGCCGATTCTCAGACCTACTCAATACGCTCACTTCATGAGAATCGGTTCGGACAAGCCGTTTCGGAGGAGTATGGGAACGAAAACTATGACACGAGAATTTTATATATAAGATTTTTAAACTTTCGTGTTTAATATACATTATTTATATTGTTAACCGGATCTTAACACGGCTAGTGCAACCTGGTCGAAACGTCGAGAGAGGTAGGTTGGTAGGTTGGACTCCATTTTCCGCAATTGGCCTCTCATTCGGGCCGTTGTGCGTGAACGTCGAGAGAGGTAAATACCTTTATTTGCCATAAAATTTGTCGTGTTAAGACCCGGTTAATAATATGAATAATGTATATTTACATAGTATACAATGAAATCTCTTCCCCGGTCCGGCCGCTTAGATCTTTTAAACAACGCAACGGATTTTAAGTGATTGTAGATGAAGTTTATCAGGATTGTTTTCTCGTAAATAATTCAAGATGTGTTTTGTTTCCAGGAAGAACGGTATAAGCCCCACATTTTGCAAGTACAGCGCCTTCGGGAGTCCAGTCATATGTTGTAAAGATAACTCCAATATCTTGCAAGCGGCAACACCGCCAAACAGCGAGTAAGTTAATTTTACCTATGTAACTAGACTCTGAAGATGGAAAGATAAAATAACAAAGGATTAAAGAAAAGAGACAGATCAAATTCAAATTCAAAATATCTTTTTTCATGTAGGTCTATTACAGACTCTTATGATATGTCAAATCTACCGTCAGTTGGATTGATTGCGAGATGAGAAGAACTGACAAGAAACTCAGCTCGTATTTATTTCAAATAAATGTTGTTATACAAACATAAACAAGTATACAATAATACAGATTCATTTTTAAATTCAAATTTGAGAGAATAGAGTAACCAGCAGTATATGCTATTGCAAAAGCAAATAGTCTAATCATTGTTCATAACCGGAATGTGTGGTGTGACAAGAATGGATAAGATAAAGAATGAATACATTAGAGGAAGTATGAAAGTGGCGCCGGTGTCAGAGAGGTTGAAGAGTAATCGTCTATCATGGTATGGACATGTAATGCGTAGGAATGAGGATAATATTTTTAGAAAGGTGTTACATATGAATGTGGATGGTTATAAGGGCAGAGGAAGGCCGACAAAGAGATGGATGGACTGTGTGAAAGATGATATGGTAAGACTGGGAGTGAATAACGAGATGACTGCGAACAGAGACGAACGGAAGAGAAAAACGTATTACGCCGACCCCAAATATATGGGATATGGAAGAAGCAGATGATGATGTTCATAACCGGAGTAGACTAGTCCGCACAAGATATCATAAATATTATTGAGAATACGCGGGGAAATGTTGGGGCACTTGATAATATTATCGAAGGAAAAATAGATGGAAGGAGAAGAAGGGGAAGACCAAGACTCAGCTATATCAAGCAGTTTAAGGAACGTTGGACGTTGGAGTCGTGTCGTATCAGCAACTAAAGAGCTAGATGGAAAAACGATTATCCATCAAGCTCCACTGACAATAGGAGCGGTTAAATTATGAATGAATGAACTGTATTCACAAAGGCATTGAATGAAAGACTGCATGCTAATGGAACACACACACGAGACCGCCCTCGCCGGCGAAGACGACGACCTCATACACCTCATATCGCGCATTCAACCGGGCGCTTGCGTGCGCCCGGGCGCTCCACACCGGCGCTCCCGGTCGTTCCTCCGATCGATCTCCCGACCAATTCAACGGGGATCGATGTTACGACGGCCTGAGCCGAGGTTCGAACCTCTAGTGGTGGCCTCAGACTAAAGTCGTATCCGTCGGGCGGAAGTTGGCCTTCAGCCACTCCATAAGTCCTTCCTTTGGTTTGGAGTGCCCCTATAGTTCGGTGAAGCTGTAAAGGCCAGCTGCGACCAACAGCATTAGACTAGTCCGAAAAAAAAAGTTAATGGAATGCGTTCAATCTGCTAATGATATATCTTCTTCCAGCGGTCCACCAATTTGGGGCGTCGGTACAGACACAAGGAGAGTCAGCGAACGAAGTGAGTAATAAAAATCGCTAACACCATGTATAATCCTTACTTCCTTACTAACAAATGCGAAAGTAACTCTGTCGGTCTGTTTGTTGTAAAGGGTTGTAAGGGGTTTAAAGGGGAGATGAACTCCCCTCACAACCCTTTTTAGATTGTATGGAAACATCATCTTACTAGCTTACTTAACTACTTCGTATTTCAAAGTTTGAAACTAATTTTTTTGACTGTTGATTAAACAATTAAAAATAACATTACACGTGAGATCTGATTGAGATTAAATTTACCAAATGTAACAATTTATGACCACTTGAAAGGCCTGGGATGTTATAAGTGTTGTTATTCGCCGGTTCACATCAACCAGTGCCTTTATCAGTTTCAGCCGGCCTTCCCGAGGGTGGTGCATCTTCGACATCAAAATTGCCGGATCGAAATTTAGCGAACCAGTTCTGGCACTAGCGTACTGTTAATAATAATAATTTATTTATTTGCTTGCTACATGGTAGTTAGGTAGGTAGGATTTTATTAACTAATAAAAGTACATGACATGCAGCACCCCTTAGAGGTATGCAAATATTCAAATTAAATCATATTCAATTTAATATAAAATTATGTCATTACATTACGACACACCTTCCACACAACACATCTTCTCCACACATATCGGCCAATTTCTTTCTGACTTGAACAGCATTTTTGCCCTTTCTGTAGTAAAACAGTAGGATATGTCGAAAATACTGCATATTCCTCTCCATATTTAAAAGGACACCAACCAAAAACTACTGCGTAGAATTAATTGTAATTTTTCACACATAAGCCTTGCTATATGAGCTCTCAAAGCATATACAAATTATACGGCTTAAGTGTGAAGTTGAATGCAAAAAATACAATTAAATCCTAAGTTAGGAAAAAACGAAATTACTTTCCGAACAACCTAATATTTTATTTTGAATTGGAGTAACTGTCTGATAATAGGTAGCTACCGCTTGGTATAGGCTATGATAACCGATTTTTTATATATATGTATATTTATTAATTTACTTACATAACTATTATTACAGGCCTAAGCCCAATACAATAGTGTATCTAATTCTATATTATACATGTTCGTTAACATGACATATAACATACAATGTTGTTTTTGTGAATTCACACAGACTACACACAAACAAGTCAGTTGTTTCTGCTATTTTATTGAAAGTGGCCAGTGCGTGTGTCATGGACGCATTGTTTAATAAATTAGTTCTGCTGCGAGGTACCGCTACTAACTGGGGCCTTCGTCGCCGCCCCAGGTAATTATCTGGTACCCTAAAACTTATCAAACCAAGAAATAGAAATAGAAATAGAAATAATCTTTATTCAAATAAACTCATTACAAGCACTTTTGAATAGTCATATTTTGATTCTACCACTCATTCGGAATGCAGATTCATCACAAGAAGAATGAGCAAGAAACTTGTGTGTTGCTCTTTTTAATAGATGTTTTTTTATATAAATAATTACAGTATAACAAGTAAGAGGCATGCGATAATCAACATAGAAGTCGCTACGCACTCATTATTAATGTAATCAGATAATATTGTCAGTGTTATGGATTTAAAGTTTTTCTATAAAAACATTATTATCGTTAACGAATTCTTCAATTTTATAGTAAGCTTTTTTGCAAAGGAACTGTTTGATTTGACATTTAAATCTTTTTTCTGGCAGATTTATAACATACTCTGGTATTTTATTGTAAAACCTTACGCAATTGCCACAAAACGAATTACTAACTTTAGCCAAACGACATTTAGGTAAAATCAGTTTGTTATTGTTACGTAAGCTTTTATTAGTGCAATCACTAACTCTTTTGAAACTGTCTACATATATTCCTTCTGGCATACATGATATTTTCATAAATGTATTGAGAAGCAGAGAATTGGTGATTTAACCCCGAATCACTTTAAATATGTATAAGACTTTTATATTAATAATAATACCTATTCCCGGATATGAAATTCCAGGCTTGTTATCTTAATTTAACGTAGCTTCGTTACCTTCGTGGTATAAAAAAACTCATGTTTCTAGAGTGTGAGCAGTACAGCCGAGGTGTGACAGAGAAGGTCGATTTTATACCGTTACTGCCGAATCCAGAGACGATGTCTATATCTTCACCAAAGTGCGAGTATTCAGGAGTGGAACTCATTGTTGGTGGTCAGAGCGCTGATCAAGGAGAGTTTCCGCATATGGTAAGTTATCTATAGATATACATATAAATAAAATAGGAGTGTCTGTTTGTAATATTGAAATAACTCTTTTTTACTGCATGCATATCAATATAAATACGGTACATACACCAATATAACATTTTTTACAATTTTTGTCTGTCTGACTGTCGGTCTGTTTGTTCCGGATAATCTCGGAAATGGCTGGACCGATTTTGACGGGACTTTTCTTGGTAGATAGCTGATGTAATAAGGAGTAACTTAGGCTACTTTTATTTTAGAAAAATAAAGTTAATTCCCACGCTAGTATAATAATATATTTATATAAGAGAATATTGAACACTAAACGACATGGAATTTTATATATTCGTATTATTTACTAGTGCAATGAAATCACATAAAACCAAAATGTCTTCATTCATTTAAATGTTTAGGCAGCAATAGGTTTTACAAACTTCGACGGTGGCTACAACTTCAACTGTGGTGGAAGCCTCATCAGTCCTCGGTTCGTGCTGACAGCCGGCCACTGCACCCGAGACCCTGGAGCGAAGGACCCTGAGCCTGTCATCGTTAGGCTTGGAGACCAGAACATAGACCCTAGTGTCAGTGATGGAGCCAACCCAGTGGATGTACGTATATTACAAAGAGGAACAAACTCATCATAACTTTTTCTTAACCCATGTCACTTTGGGTCGTCGAATAGAATAAAAAATGAAGAAAATGCATTATTCAAATAAACTTAAATTTAAGTACTTTTGAATGGTCGTAGGAAAGCTGTATCATCACAAGATGATATAGATACTACTTATGAGGAAACTAGTACTCGCTGTCCATTACTGTTTGCTGCTGCGCAAACAAATAGATAATCCCGCAGTTGTAGACCGGATAGGATCCGATCGATCCCCCGTCCAATTCAAACGGGGATCGAAATTACGACGGCCTGAACCGAGGTTCGAACCCCTAGTGGTGCCCTCAGACTAAAGTCGTATCCGTCAGGCAGGAGTTGGCCTTCAGCCGCTCCATAAGTCCTTCCGCGGGTTTGGAGTGCCATCTGCACTTTCCCCCTAACGTACAGTGAAGCTGTAAAAGCCAGCTGCGGCCAACAGCATTAGAGTAGTCCGAAAAAAAAAGGATTCAATATCCCACCGAATTACGTGAGAATTGTCACCCGTCGTCGTGTCAGACTGTTTGCAACCGCGTCGGTACACAAGCCACGCTAGCAATTCTCCCACTATGAGAGCATTGCAATTATTAAATTTATTTTTAGGTAAGGTCCAAGATGCTGACGTATATACAGAAACCTTGGCTTCCATAATAAATAAAATAAGAATATATTTATCATCGTATAATTTTAAGTAGTAAAAATAGTTTTAAAATATAAACGTTAGCAACGGCAATTAGCTGTAAGTTTATATCGTGTTAATTAAATTGATAAAAAAAAGTCGCTGTCGCTGTCTGTCCGTCACTATGACTTTTTTAATAGATACAGCGATTCAAGAGAAAGGTTTATATATATAACACATGTACACCCGAGCGAAGCCGGGGCGAGTAGCCAGTAAGTTTACAAGTTTCTGCCCGTATGTATGGTATACGCCACAAAGTGTAAAAAACCAATGTCTGTGAAAATAAGATAACAATAATAGTATAATGTTACTCTTTCACGCAAAAACTACTAAACAGATTTTGATGAAACTTTACAGTAATATAGCTTATACATCAGAATAACATATTAGTATGTATAATTATATCGATTGTTTATATTACATCAGGTTTCTATAAAGAGAATCCACAAACACCCCGACTACCGTCCGCCAGCGAGATACAACGATATCGCGTTGCTGGAGCTAAACTCGGCCGTGGAGTTCGAGTCAGCCATACGGCCCGCCTGCTTGTGGCGACAGAGCGGATTCGGGGGTCAAACTAAAGCTATAGCCACCGGGTGGGGAGTTGTTAACCCTGGTGAGTAATTTAAAATAATTTAACTAATAATAATATCTTAGGACAATAATTTATAGAATAGAATAGAATAGAAAATAATTCAATCAAATAAACCTAATTTAAGCACTTTTGAATAGTCATAACAATTTTTTGTATCTACCGCTCGTTCGGAAACCTGTCTCATCACAAGAAGAACGAGCAAGAAACTTGTGTGTTGCTCTTTTAAATAATCCTTGTAATTTTATATTATTAACTGGGTCTTAACACGAATAATTTTATGGCAAACAAATATATTTACCTCTCTCGACGTTTAATAATATAAATAAAGCATTTTAAACACAAAAGTTTATAAAAAAAATATTAGGACAATTCACACAGCGCCATCTAGACCTAAGTTACGTACAACTTGTAATCGGCATGTATATAACAATATTTTATTTTATATATTGTTATACTACTATCATTATTATACTTGTAAATACAAAAAAATTAATAAATTTTAGAAATAGCAAATGTTAGCAAAGGAGGTTATAACCCTAAAATCTTATATATAAGATTCTCGTGTCACAATGTTAGTTACTTTGAAACGGCTCGACCGATTTTCGTGAAATTTTATATGCATATTCAGTAGGTCTGAGAATCGGCTACTATCTATTTTTCATACCGGGCGGGAGTTGGCATTCAGCCGCCGCATAAGTCCTTCCTTTGGTTTGGAATGCCATCTGCACTCGTCCCAAAGCCTCTAAAAAAAAAGGTGCGTTCAGAAATTTATTGCGTAACTAAACTTTAAAACTCCTTTAATTCTGAGGCGGAATGGAGTTCACGGGTCAGCTAGTCTATACATATAAATAAAATTGGAGTGTCTGTTTGTAATATTGAAATAACCGTTTTTTACTACATGCATATGAATATATATACGGTACATATACCAAAATAACAATTTTTGTCTGTCTGTCTGTCGGTCTGTTTGTTCCGGCTAATCTCTTTAATGGCTGGACCGATTTTGACAGAACTTTTTTTGGCAGGTAGCTGATTTATAAGGAGTAACTTAGGCTACTTTTATTTTAGAAAAATAAAGTTAATTTCCACGCGGTCGAAGCCGCGGGAACAGCTTGTTATAAATAAATTTAATTTCAGATACAAGAGAGCTAGCGAAAGATCTACAGAAGGTGTCGCTGAGTCTGTTTGACAATTCTGATTGTGATGCTAAACTGCTCAACACTAGATACCGTCACTGGAAGGGACTGTCACCGTCGCAGATGTGCGCTGGTGAGCTCAGAGGAGGAAAGGACACGTGTCAGGTAATTGTAATGAGTTTCGTAGACTTGTCATATTTAAATAATAAGATTCTGTAATTTATTTCTTTCTTAAATTACAAAACTGAAGTGGCAATGGGCAGGGCACATAGCTCGTAAGACAGATGGCCGTTGGGGCAGTAAAGTCCTCAAGTGGTTACAGTAGACCGGAAGACGCAGCGTAGGAAGGACTCCAGCAAGGTGGAATGACGATCTGGTCAAGATCGCTGGAAGGCGTTGGATGCGAGCAGCGCAGGACCGATCGTCGTGGAGATCTTTGGGGAAGGCTTTTGTTCAGCAGTGGACATCCGGGCTGAGATGATGATTCTGTCTTTTAATTGTCAAAGTCGATATTTTAATTGCAGTATTATTTTAGTGAATTAAAACCCTTCAATATGCGGTTTTATCTTCTTTATGATTCCAAAATTCATTAATTAAAAAAAAATTACGTCACATATTGACGGTCTCGGTGGTCTAGTGGCTTAGCTCACCGCTTTACGTCCGATGGTCGCGGGTTCGATTCCTCGCACGCTACAAACATTCGTATTCATGGGTCTGTTTGTATCGGTCTAACTGTTTTCTATGTAATAATAATAATAATCATTTATTCAGCATCATAGTAAAAATATAAAAAAAAAAATTATTCGCTATGAGCTGAAAGGGCCTCCATTCAGCTGGAGCCACAGTGTGTCACTAAAAAAAATTTCGCTATGAGCTGAAAGAGCCTCCACTCAGCTAGTGCCGCAGTGTGTCACTGCAGCGCTGATTTTCAGTGGAGCCACTCGAAAAAAAAAATTGCTTTCTTGATGATGCTATCTAAATATATATAACTCAAAGGTGACTGACTGACATAGTGATCTATCAACGCACAGCCCAAACCACTGGACGGATCGGGCTGAAATTTGGCAGCATGTAGATGTTATGACGTAGGCATCCCCTAAGAAAGGATTTTGATAAATTCCAACCCTAAGGGGATAGGGGACCCTACCCCTACCCTAAGAAAAATAGGGGATGAAAGTTTGTATAAAACTTCTTAGATTTTCGACTGATTGAACTGAAATTAAAGATTGGAGCTACTATTATGAAGACGTTCGCATAAATAGGATTTTGATAAATTCAACCCCCATGGAGATAAAATAAGGGATGATACAGAATGTAAATGTATTAGTTTAAACCTATCAGTACGTAATGGAACGTACCTAATGAATTAAGACGAACAAAATAATTTTTAGTTCTTTAGGCTACTTTTATTTTAGAAAAATAGAGGTTAAATTCCACGCGGAAGAAGTCGTGGGAACAGCTAGTTGTATATATTCTTGTGTATTAATGTATATATACTAAGTATATTATATAGGTATTTACAAAAACAAAATGTGTTATGTATTTGTATCGGTAATCTAGTACCCATAACACAAGCTTTAGCTAGCTTAACTTGGGTATACTGTACTAGATGGCGCTGTGTGAATTGTCCAAGGATATTATTTTTATATTTTTTTTCTAAAGGACTTAAGAAACCTTATTATATCCTTCTTGAAAACTCCATGCTGTAGTCTCTAGAAAAAACATCTACATATACATATGATACATCTAAAATTATTTTTTTATACTACGATGGTGGCAATTGAGTTTCTTGCCAGTTCTTCTCAATTGGATCTATATACCGAACTGGACGGTAGGGAAAAAATAAAATTATAATGTAAAAATTTAACGTTCATAAGCGGCTAAAATGTCCTACATGAATAAATGATTTTTGAATTAGAATTTGCAACCATACGGCCTATCTGGTGGTAACGTTACCCTATGGACGCCTGAGACACCAGGGGTGACGTGCGCGTTGCACCGTTCCATTATCATCCACAAAAAACCTACACGTCATTTCTAATCAAACCTTGGCAAAGAAGCAGAAAGAAGAACTCAACATGTTTTTTTTTTCTCATTTCAGGGTGATTCCGGATCTCCCTTACAAATAGCTTCGAAAGACAACCAATGCATCTTTCATATTATTGGCATCACGTCGTTTGGTAAGCAGTGTGCTAAGAGCGGACTGCCAGCCGTCTACACCAGAATATCAAGCTATTTAGACTGGATCGAGGGCATTGTGTGGCCTGGAGAATAAATGTTAATACTTAATTATTATTAATTAATTAAATACTTTTTTATATATTTTTTTTTATTTACACCAATATTATAGAGCAAGAGCCCACGACGGCCAGACATAGTCACACACAGTCTTATTAGTAAACGTGAAAGTTCTTGTATGTGTGTCCCCAACACAGGTAAGAACGATCCCCAAACATGAAACCTGGATCGTGGTTCCTTTGGCAGGTACCAGGTAACAAAGGTGTAAAAAAAATCATATCAAATTCGTTATTTTAAGAAACTCCATATTTTCATATATTGTTCGTAGCATTATTATAAATTGCTCTGCTCATTGCCAGACCCTTAGTGTGGTTCCAACCCCCTGCCGGACCCCCCTAAACTATACTATTTTATAAATAAACTTACGTCATTTTAATAAAGCTGAACTTTATATATATTATTGAGAGAACTATTAAACTGAGTTTCCTAAATTGCCAGACAGTTTTCTTGGTTCGACAACGAGCAGAGCAAGTTATAATACTGTTACGAGCAATATGTGAAAAAATGGAATTTCTTAAAATAACGGATTTGATATGATTTTTTTTACACCTTTGTTACCTGGTACCTGCCAAAGGAACCACGATCCAGGTTTCATGTTTGGGGATCGTTCTTACCTGTGTTGGGGACACACATACAAGAACTTTCACGTTTACTAAAATGACGTATGTCTGGCAGTCGTGGGCTCTTGGGCTATAGCTGTCCTAAGCAAGTTATTTAGACTGGATCGAGGGCATTGTGTGGCCTGGAGAATAAATATTAACACTTAATTATTATTAATTAATTAAATACTTTTTTAAGCATATATTTTTTTATTTACACCAATAAAATTCAAATTCAAAATATCTTTATTCATGTAGGTCTATTACAGACTTTTATGAATATGTCAAATATACCGTCAGTTCGGAATGATGTCGAGATGAGAAGAACTGACAAGAAACTCAAGTTAATAATAGTTAATAATATTATAAATCAATATTGGCTATTTATAGTATTACTACCTACTCGCCCCGGCTTCGCCCGGGTGTTCATGTAAATAAAACATATAAAGCTTCCTCTTGAATGATCTGTGTATTAAAAAAAACGCTTCGAAATCCGTTGTGTAGTTTTAAAGATTTAAGCATACATAGAGACGGACAGACAGCGACAGCGACATTCTTTATACTATGTAATGCTGATATTGTATATATAAAACATAACTACCATACAGTAATTTTTGTAGCTGTGACGTGGTCGAGTGGAATGAGTAGGCATGCTCACTAAAATGTCCAGACATGTGGTGGCGTGGTGGGCCGGGTCATTGGTCTCTCTAAAATATGGTCGAGCGCAGTGATGGGTGGCTCATCCGTCGTACTCGTGAACAAGTGCTGCTTGTAGGGACTGGTCTACTCTTATCACTACGACTGATTTAATCGTTATTGTATATTTATATTTGACCCAAAAAATTAGTGCTGGTTGGTAGTTTGTATTCACACGTTTCGACTTGTAAAATGTGAACTTTCAAGGATTATTTAAAAGAGCAACACACAAGTTTCTTGCTCGTTCTTCTTGTGATGAGATAGCTTTCCGAACGAGTGGTAGATAAAAAACAAATTGTTATGACTATTCAAAAGTGCTTAAATTAAGTTTATTTGAATAAATTTTCTATTCTATTCTATTCTATAAATACTGTACTCTGTAAATAAATGATTTGATTTGAAAACGGAGTGTAATCCCCGTAGGCAGTAACTAATTTGATATGCACAGTCTCGTTTAATATTCTTTGCGCGCCAAACAACAGGTTTCCTTGTCAGTGTAGCTCGTTCAGGTAGTTAGTGTATTATACATCGCGGATCGGACGCGAGCAGGTAAATTTACCGTTTTCTATCATTAATATTTTCTTAATTTACACAATAATGTACCTATATATTTTTTTTTTATTTAAATTTTTTTTTTATGGATGATAATGGAATGGTGAACCCGCCTGCGCAACGGGTTACGCTGGCGGGGCACCAGTGGAGGATGATAAGATGAGCATGAGGTCAGGTCAGTTGGCCCATCGTGACAAATTCACTAAGAATTTTTCACGATGGTTTCCAGGGGGAACCGCGTGGAGGTTAACCTGATATGGTACATTGCTAGCAATGGGGTTATCAATCCCCATTACTGAGAATCCCCATCCCCCTGGCTAATATCAGTTGGAATGACCTGTAACACTGCGACCTACATAAATCTATTGTGCTCGCCCTTATTCAGAGTCCGCTACCTAGACCCGTCAGGGACAAGAATTGAAGGATATTCTTAGGAGCGATCGTTTTTATCTCCTCAGGATAGAGTGTACACTTTCCAAAGGAGATATTTCGTTTATGCATGAGTGGGCTACATCCGCATAGGATGTGCAGTGGCGTTTCCTCTTCTGATTGGCAAAATCTGCAGATTGATATTAATCTGACGCCTAATTTCGCCATGAGGGCATGTCTATATCCTAGTCATGATACATATATTGTTTTTACTTAATAGTAAAAGTCTATTGGCGGCGTGGTGGGCCGGGTCATTGGGCTCCCTAAAATATGTTCGAGCGCAGTGATGGTTGGCTCATCCGTCATACTCGTGAACGGGTGCTGCTTGTAGGCAGGCAAAATAGGCAAAGACTAGCTGTTCCCGCGACTTCGTCCGCGTGGAATTTAACTTTATTTTTCTAGAATAAGAGATTTTTTCTAAAAATATAAGTAGCCTAAGTTACTCTTTATTACATCAGCTAGCTGCCAAAAAAGGTCGCGTCAAAATCAGTTCAGCCATTACAGAGATTAGCTGGAACAAACAGACCGACAGACAAAAATTGTAAAAAATGTTAATTTGGTATATTTGCCTTATTAATATTCATATGCATGTAGTAAAAAACGGTTATTTTAATATTACAAACAGACACTCCAATTTTATTTTTATGTATAGATGTATAGATATAATGTTGTGTTGCAGCCGATCAGTTGCCTGAGACGAGCGCTGTTTGTGTGAAGAAATGATTACATCTGTAATCATTTTCCTGTTTGTCAGCCGGGCGGCCGCACAGAGCAATGGTTAGTATTGAAAAAAAAACTAGTAATATAACATAATAACCTCTCAGGACAACACACAGCGCCATCTAGTACCAAGTTAAGCTAGCTAAAGATTGTTTTATGGGTACTAGATAACTGATACAAATACATTAGATTTTTTTTCGTAAATACATACATATTATACATAGAAATTACCCAGACCGATACAAACAATCATACTCATGAATACAAATGTTTGTGCCGTGCGAGGAATCAAACCCGCGACCATCGGTCGTAAAGCGGTATGCTAGACCGCTAGACCACCGAGGTCGTAATAGAACTGTATCACTGATGTGTAGAATTCGGGGGAGTGCAAACAGCCTCCTAAACACCATATCCAACATGTCAGATTATCCACTTCAGAGGCACTGGATATCGCTGAACTGCTGCTGATCCAGGGCTTCTGGACGACAGTTGTAATTTACTAACATACTCTGGGAAACTCTGTGAATGTTGCATCGACCTTTCTGCTTCAAAAGAAATGTTTAAGAGTTATCTATAATATGTATTCAGATGAAACTCTAAGACACATATTTAAAACTGGAAAATATCTCACTCTCACTAATATTTATATTATGGAACTGTGTGTAGTTGTTAAAAATAATATGACATATTTCACCAGTAAATCGGATATGCGAAATAACTTGCATCAGAAACATAAACATGACTTATTTTTACCGGTAATTTATAATTATGTTTATCGCAAAAGTGCAATGGTAATGGGTGTTAAAGTATATAATCATCTTCCGTTGGACATATGTCTAAGTGGATGAATATTTAAGGCTCGACTAATAGCTTGGCTGCTTGACAATGTATTTTATGTAGGGGTAGAATGCACAGCGGCAGTAAATATAGTGAAATAAGAAAGTAAAATATATATATTTGGTAAAAGTAACAAGGCTCACATACGATATGTCAATAGAAAATCTTACGAACAATAGAAGATATTTTCTTTATACAAAATTCAAATTATCTTCTACCAATAACGGCCAGATATAAATTTAAGTTCCAACATTTTATGACATAAATGAATATTTTAGTACAATAACGTAATTTTAAAAGATGTAATAATATATAGTTCATAGACAGCCTTGACAATATACTTATAATAATACCATGACATAATTAATTAATGTAATTTATACTATAATCTAAAATCAAATATGTTGTACATTGTTGTATGCCCGATAGGGTGAAACTGTTGATACATAACTATATATATTGTTATACCACCCACAAAAAAATGTACCCACACAGTTAGCAATAAAGATATATTCTATTCTATTCTATTGTATATAATAAAGATATATTCATAATATGGATACATATGAAAAAATTAAATAATAATATTATTTTGATTGTAGTGGTTACATTCAAATATTGATAATGAACGTTGATGGATGGAAAGAGAGAGGACAGCAAAAGATGGATGGATTATGGTTGCCATGTTTATATTATTGTAACTAGCTACTCGCCCCGGCTTCGCCCAGGAAACACCAGGGGTGTGACCTGCGCGTTGCCGACCCTAATAAAGCTTAATATACCCTTGAAAAACAACCCCCTTTCCTTTTGCTCTCCGACATTATATGTAATCTAATTGAAATAGTTCTAAAACACGACACATCGATTTTTTGCATTTAGTGTTTATTTTATAGTTTAGCCACATTTAGCGTTCTCAGTAAAATAGAATAGAATAGAATAGAATAGAAAATCATTTATTCAAATAAACTTACATTGAAGCACTTTTGAATAGTCATAACATTTTTTTTTAATCTACCGCTCATTCGGAATGCTGTCTCATCACAAGAAGAACAAGCAAGAAACTTGTGTGTTGCTTTTTTAAATAATTTATTCTTACTTACAATTTAAGTTTAAGTGTGTGAATACAAACCACCGATTAGCACTAATTCAATTAAATACTCAAAAAGAAAAAAATATTGAATACATAACCAACTGGTTAAACAATTAATAAGAGGA